TGTGTGTGTGTGTGTGTGTGTGTGTGTGTGTTGCTGTGCTTATCTGCATTCCTGCTAACACAGGTATGAATGTTCTGAGTGTGTGTGTGTGTGTGTGTGATGCTGTGCTTATCTGCATTCCTGCAGGTATGATTGTTCTGAGAGTGTGTGTGTGTGTGTATGATGTGCCACACATTTCTCATAAAGAAAAGATCTTAGAAGGCTTTAAAGTTTTCAAACATGCACACACTTGATAACAGCGGCAGGTTTCCCTTGAGAAAAGCAACTGGAGACACCAAACAGTTGATATTTAAATTTCGTTATCCTGTAGGAAACAGCATGGGGGCGTGGATAATGGAGCGGGCCGTTTTTGAGACAATGTCTAGGGAGGTTGCAGTCTGGCCCCACAGTGTCTGTGTGTTGACTGTGGAGTTTTAACAAGGCTATACTCAGCGCTTTAGTCTGAGGTTTTAGTCTTATTCTGGACCCTGAGTTGCTAATACCAACATAAATTGATGAAGAGATTTTCTGTCCACTAAACTAGAAAACATGCCTTTTCTTCTCCCACAGAGCCCTGGCTGGACATGAGATATAATGACTCAAACATGGCTGGTCCACATCAGTGATTCTTCAAGTATCACTCACATGTCTATCAATCAATTGTTATGCTAAAAGCAGATCAAAGATGACTGTTCAAAATGAATTATTAAGTTTAGATTTATTTTAACATCAAGTACATGGAGCCTCATTTAAAGCAAATGCACGTCTTTTAAAAATCTTATTTTAGTCTCTTAAAAATTTCCAACTACATTTAGAGAATATGTTGCCAGCTCTGCATGCTATACATATCAATGCTAAAAAACATAAATTATAAATATACTGTTCAATTTTTAGAGCATAAAAAGATGTCTATCGGGGCACAGTGGCAAAGAGTGAACCCCAGTACTGAGGAGATGGAGGCAGGAGGGTTGTGAGTTCAAGGCCAGCCTGAGCTACACAGTGATACTGTATACCAGAGAATGAAGGGCTAGGGTTGTGCCTTACTGTCAGAGCTCTTGTTAGTGTGTATAAGGATCCGGGCTGGCTCCCCAGGACCCTGACCCAAACAAACATGAGTAACTTTGAATATGTATGTACATATATGTGATTTGTAGCATCATCCCCTGCTGGAGGCGTCTGTGAAAACAAGCCTACAAGCTAGGGATAGGCCCCTGAGCCAGGCTAGCAAAAAATATTCCCCAAGTGTGTTGTCTACAGCCTGGCTGTTTGTCTCGCCAGCAGGTCATGTCTGGGTTTCAGAACACCAGGTCTTTCTCACCATTCACAGAGCTGGGCAGGACGCTCCAAGGATACCCTGTGCCACTATGTATCAGTTCTCATTTAACTCAAAAAAAGTTCAAGTAAACAAGCCATTTTATCAAATAGACTATTTAAAACCATTTTCCTTAATCTGTTTACTGCAAGGGAAATCGGAGCAAAGCCCGCCAGAAGCCTGCTCTGTGCCCTGTGTCCGTTTCTTCTCACGCTTCCAGCATGGCTGACTTTCTCAGCTTCAGAATTCTTCAGCCCTCAAGACACAACACTTTAACAAAGTTTGCTGTTTGTTTTACTATTCTTCCATTTTCTGTGTGTGTGTGTGTGTGTGTGTGTGTGTGTGTGTGTGTGTGTGTGTGTGTGAATGTTTGTATGTTGTGGGCACACATAACTGTGCTCCCATGCATGTGTGAGTACACAAGGAAGGAAGCCCAAGAACGTCACGAATCATCTTTAATCATTCTTCCATCACACGAAATGAGGCAGAGTCTCCTAAGCAAGCCAGAGCTTGCTAATATGGCTGGTCTAGCCTGCCAGTTTGCTCTGGGGATCTCCTGCACTTGCCTTCTAAGGCTTGGATAGCAGGCAAGCCACCATGCCCACCAGCCATTTGGACAGGCTTCATCTCCCAACTCCAGTTTTCACACGATCCCAGCAGGCGCTTTAACCATGAGTTATCTCCCTACCCTGGGTCCCCTGTTTGTATTGATTCGGAACACGGGGGACTACACTGAACCCTCCCTTCGTTCTGCTCAGGACTCCTAATCCTGTCTGAGGGGCTCACTGGCAGATGGTATTCCTCATGGCCATGAGGGCTGGAGACCAAACCCAGGCCTTTGCTCACTCGAGGCAAGCATTCCAGCACGACGCTCCGCTCCGTCCCTGGCTGACAAGGGGCTGCTGAGTGAGGTGGCGCTGTGTTCATCCGGCCACCAGCTGCCAGGGGGTAGGCTGAGAAACCACAGCGACCCTTTGGGATCCTGACTCCTGAGAGGCCAGCAAAACCAGGCAGACCCACCTAAAGATGTCAGGGAAGAGTGAATGCTTCATCTCCCACAAGACTTTATGCGGAGAAAATGTCTTCCCATCATCCTCTTCTCTCCAACATCCACCAAAATGTCTCACATAATCATCCAAGAGTGGTTATGGTTGAAGTTTACACCAGCAACTTCTAGAGAGCATGGCCACATATTTATATAAGTATTTTGGGATACCCTTTTCTCAGAGCTTTTGAATTATTTCCAACTCCTACCGCAGTTGGTTTTCACAGGTCCCTAACAGCATGTGCTTAGGGGTGGGGCTGATCAGAAGGTTGGTGGGAAGACGCAGAAGCCAATGCCTCGGGGACAGATGTGGGCCAGCGACTCCAGCAGAGCTGGGAAACATTCCCAGTAGACATCACAGTTCTCCCACTCAGGTCTCCTTCAAAGCGCCTGGAAGAATAAAGGGACATGTGGCCAGGACCCAAACACCTCACACATGCCAAGGGCGATGTGCACAGGAGAGAAGAGCATGCTGGGCCAGACCAGGCAGAGCCGGCTCCCTCCATTCTCAGCCCAGCTACTGACGCCACCACGAACCTGAAAGCTCCTGGGTGGGCCAGTGGCCAAGAATAGGTGTCAATCACCTGTGTCAATCTAATACTATTCCCTGGAGAGTGGCTATTTCCTGTCCTGAACACAGAAGCAGATCTACCCCAGACTCTGAAGGTGTGTGGTGATTGATAAATACATCGCAATCCTGCTTCTCATCCACCCAGAGCCCTCCCCAAGGGCTGCTCCTTGTACTCTGGAAACAGCCCAAGTTTAGGGAGCAGGAAGTATGGAGTCGGCTTCTGCACTTGCAGCCCATGTGGCCTTGGACAAGTTGTTTACCCCAAGTCTGGAATTTCATTTTTTCTGGGAACAGTTGACTGCATGTAACCCTGAGTTATCACATCTAATAAGAATTTTACTTGTTTTGGTAAAGTCTGCATCCTTTTGGTGTGGAGGTGGTGGACGGTTAGGAAATGGGAAGGGCCAGGGTTGGCTTGATTGGCTATGCAGAGAAAAGAACAGAAAGTTACAGGAAGAAAGGAAATATGTTGGAAAAGATGAGAGAATGGAAACAGAAAAGAGCCTAGAGAGGCTGTGCTGAGGGTGAACTGGAGAGTGAGAAGAAAAGAAAGATCTCTGGGCCACCACGGGATGTGGAAAATACAGAGAACCGGGACCTTGTGGACTGTTTCATCTTCCTTTAGCATTTTTAGGGGTAATTTGGTTAAATAAGAAAGTCATTTTTTATCAACTAGGTTGTTTGAAACTGTCTTCCTGTATTCGGCTTGTCCAAACATGATGTAAGAACGGAAATACCCAGAAGGCAATTCCATTTCTCGACCTGGATCACCCCATTCTCACTCCAGCTGCCGATACCACAAGAACCCCGACAGCTCAAAGCTGTGCCAGCAGCCCCAGCAAGATGCCCCCCACATGCCACTGAATGTCGTGGTTTCTCTGCTGCCTTCAGAGTTTAGCCGGAGAAGCCTGTGAGATAGTTACAGCCTCCTTTGACTTTATTGTCCTGTCCTGGGCCCCTTGAGGTCTGAGTCCAGTGGGGGACAACTTTGGAACCTCTGAGGTGAGCACACACAGACTTCCTAGGAACATCTGTCTAGAGTCCAGTTGTATCCTCAAAGCTCCATGAATCAAAGAAAACCTCACACTAGGTCAGTTAAAATACCTGTACTTCTAAAAACCTTTCCTGACCCTTCCATATCAGCAAATAATAAAAGAGAAAACACAAAGCAAAGCACTTAAGGGAACGGTCTTTGGTTGTGTATGGGCAGCCAGTCTTTCGGCACTGTGGGCTGACAAGGGCTTTTAAAACTCCTTCCCTTATATAGGATATCTACTTGTTTTAGTGAGCCCCAAGTGCCGTGGAGAAGTCTTATGCATAGGAATTACGTAGAAGAAATCAAGAAAGTCGAATAATTTTGCTTTATTAGTTTTTCTTTTTTGGAGACTATTCCCATCAGACCCAGGTGCGTGGTTTTTCTGTATTCTCATCAAACAGAGTGCCTTGGCTGTTTTCGTTTCACGCCCATCATCGCGGCCCCCTCTGGGACGCTGCCGGTCCCTCCCCCGCCCCCACGTGGAGTGAGCAAACGCTGCCTTACCTCGGATGAGAAGAAGGAAGCAAGTCCACGGAGCTCCTGCCACGGCCCAGGGATGCCCCCGGGGTTGGAGTGGCATCTGGAGGGGAGCCCTCCCTGGCAGGACGCCTATGCCCGCGGTCTTAGGTCTACTGCAGGACAGGCTGCAAGCACAGACACTCACCGCAGTCCCCTCAGCCGCTCTGTCCTCAGAGAGACTGGGTTTCTAAAATGTGCTCCTAAGAGGACAAGAAATGTTCTCGAAGGGAACAGATTTGCTGCCGTTCCCAGCTCTATTTAAAGGGTAACTTCCACACCCTAAAAAAGAATCCTCGTAGTTATTATTTTTCCTGAATAGAAAAATATATCTTTGTGTTGACCATTTAAAAATACAGAAGTTAAATAACATTTTAGTGGAAAATCATCCTAGCTTCTTAATATAATATTTGTTATTAATTCTGTGAGAAATCCATATGATGTATTTTAATTATATTCACTTCCAACTCCTCTGGGATCCACCACCCACACCCGCCTACACCTCCCAACTCATTATAGCTTCTTGTATGTGCATTGGTGTTTGTGGAATAGGCGTAGGTGAAGGTAAATTACTTGTTAAACTGACTTGTTGATTATCAAATATGAAATGCTGCCATTTTATTTAATATTTCCTGATAGCAGCATCTAAAATGGCTACGTATTACTGCTTTGCAGAGTTCTGCTGTGATTTAGTTAGCTGAATCCACACGGCTACACATTAGTTTTGCTATTAAAACATGCCTCATGGGGAGTCTTTGTGTACAATCTTGGCAGATACCAGCAATAAATTCTTTGGCACAAATCTGGAGATGTTGGAATGCCAGGTTGTAAAGCAGACCCACTTTAAAAGGTTTTGACATGCAGCTTTAACATCAGTTTCCAGTTTCCCTGACTTGCCAACATGGCATGCTATCCTAAAAGTTACTGCCAACTTGATAAAAGAAAAATGTTGGGTTCCATCCCACTAGACACACTAAGCCATTGTGGTACAGTTTTAATATGAATCTATATGATTACTTATGAGCTTCAGGATTTTCTTATTTTTATTGGCCATTCACATTTTTATTTTACTTTGACCATGATCTCTCCAATTTTCAGAACATTTATCTCTTTCTCATTGATTTATTGGCTCCCTTCAAATATAAACCCAGGCGAGGATACTAGCAAATTCTTCCTGATTTGCTATTTGTCTTCATTTTAGTTATGTTTATTATCATTGCTATTGGAAACAAGGTCTGCTATGTTACCCAGGCGGGTCTTAAATTTATAATCCTCCTGCCTCAGCCTGCTAAGTGCTGGGATATCTGGTGTGTGCTACCACACCTGGCGTCATGGTGCTTTTTAATGTAATTTATTATTATAAAAACTAAGAGTGAAAAGAACCTTCTTTATGTTTCTGACTGTGTGTTCAGATTGTTTCAGCAAAGCACCATCCTCCTGGTGTATGAAAGATCTTCTGTGTTCTCAAGGCTAAGGAGCATCAGAAGGGAAGGCTCTCTCATGCTCCCTCCCTCACGCATCTTGCCTCCAGTTTGTGGTGACCTGTGCATCAGAAGCAGGTTCTAGTTGAGCACCTCCCAGGATTTGTCCCTGTAGCTGAGGTGGATACTGGCTTCCTGGTGAAGCTCACCAGGACATATTGAATAACTGACATATAAGGAAACCAGACAAGAAGGGTAGTGAGGAATCGAAAACCTGTCCACTGCCTCCCAAGTGGTGGGATTAAAGGTGTGTACCACCACTGCCCGGTTAAAATTTTAATTTTAATTATATCTGTGTGTATATGTGCATGTAGGTGTTTAATTATATCTATGTCTGTTAGGACCCTGCTCTCACTCTTCCAGGTCTACGTCTTACATCATGGGGGGGGGGGCATGGGCGATGCATACTGCCGCGTGGTCACGCAATCTCCACCTTAAAAAGCCGCACACGGACCCCGACTCTCTCTCTCTTTTCTGTTTCCTCTCTGCTCTGCTCCCGCCACCTTTCTGTCTCTCCAGAAAGAAAGATGGCTTTCTTTCTTTTCTCTATTGGTTTCTTTCCAATAAAGCTCTTTCTGACTCTGGCAGTTGTAGCCATGGCGCTCGCCTACCTACCAGCGCCATTCATCCTTGCAATGTCTGTGTGTCTGTGTGTGTGTATATGCACGTAGGTGTCCACGGAGGTCAGAGGGCCACAGTCACAGGCGGTTGTGAGCTGCCCAGCATAGGTGCTGGGAACAGAACTCAGGAACTCCAAAAAAGCAATCCACTTTCCTAACCACTACATCATCTCTTCAGACTCAGCTTTATTATTATTATTATTAGTGTGTGTGTGTGTGTGTGTGTGTGTGTGTGTGTGTGTGTGTGTAGCAATGCACATGGGGGTTAGAGAACAACTTCTGGGAGTCAGCTCATTCTCTTCCTTCTGTGGGAACCAGGCATTGAATCAGATCATCAGGTTGACTTACCATCTTAGTCATCTCACAGGCCCTCAAACTAACAAAAGACACCCTGGCCAAGGGTGGTAGCACACAGCTTTAATCCCAGCACTCGAGAAGCAGAGGCAGGCCTGGCCTACAGAGTGTGTTCCAGGACAGCTAGGGCTCTTACACAGAAAAAACCTGTCTCAAAAAACAAAAATAAAACAAAACAAAAAAGAAGCCCAGGTATCATTGACATATAAAATGGTGTATGCTTAAGGTACACAGCTCCATATTCTTGAGGATGAAAGAAAGGTGGGATTAAAGACACCAAGTGAATGACTTTAATACAGGGAGGAGGTCTGAGCACCAGCTGGCTGGGTCAGTCGGGGTCGTGGAAAGGACCGTCTGAAGGGAGCATTACGAGGGGGAGCACTCTCCTCTTCCCGTTCTCAGGGAGACCAGGAATACACATAACAGCCTAGTTTCTCCTGTAGGATTATAAAAGATGTTGCCAGCCTATAGACTGAAGTTTCTTGGTCCCGCCTGGTCCTGCCTGGGCAGCAGCCATTTTTATAAAATAACACTCACAGGCTTAATATTAATTACAAACTCTTTGGTCTATGGCTCAGGCTTACTGCTAGCTAGCCATTACATCTTAAATTAACCCATTTCTATTAACCTATGTATTGCCACATGTCTTGTGGCTTTACCTGTGTTCTATTACATCTTGCTCCCTTGGCAGCTCCCAGTTCTGCCTTTCTTTTCCCTGTCTGTCTCTTGGATTTCCTGCCTGGCTATATCCTGTGTTGTCATAGGTCAACGCAGCTTCTTTATTAGCCAATAGTAGCAACACATATTCACAGTGTACAGAAAGGCCATCCCACAGTACCAGCCGAATGTGGTTGTTATCCACAATGCCCAGAGGAGGGCTCAGAGGGCAGTTAAGGAGATGGGCTCAAGAATGCAAATTTGTTTATGTTTTATGTATGAGTGCTCTGTATGTATACCTGCATGTCAGAAGAGGCCGTCAGATCCTATTATAGATGGTTGTGAGCCACAACTTGATTGCTGGGAATTGAACTCAGGACCTCTAGAAGAGCAGCCAATGTTCACCGCTGAGCCATCTCTTCAGCCCGAATTTATATTCTTTTCTCTTGCATTTCTATTTTGCTTGTGGTGTTTTTGGTGTACAAACAGTTTTTTCTTCTTAGAAGTTAAATGATTGGATGATGCAGATTCTGTTTTCCCAAGATTGTCACACAAACATGTCCTCACATGTTCTTTCAGCATGTGAGCACTGCCTTTGGACTGGTGGGAAAATAACAGTGTGCCATGGCGGTGGCGCACGGTGAAACAGCTCACTTCGTGGTGGGGGTGTGCGAGAGAAAATGAGAGCTGGGTGTGTCACACCTCTGATGACCCCAAACCACCCCCTGAGAAACCCCCTCTTAAATTTTCTCCCACATTTCAGAAGCCCCCAGATGAGGAACAAGCCTTTAACATGGGCTTTGGGGGTTCACTTCAGATGCAACATTGCAGACCCCCCTCTGAGAGATACTGTTTTGCCCATCTCTAGAAAATGCCATCTGACACATAGCACTGTAGCTGAGAGACTTAGGGAGCAAGAGAGAAATCCTAGACGGATATTAAGACTCTCGACACTCTGAGGAGCCAGTGGCCGGAAGGAAGCCCCGAGTAAGTGCCACTTCCTGCACAAGTTTCTTAGGAAGTGGTATCAGAATAAGTTCCTCTCCCCCAAACTCCACTTCCCATAATTTTTTTAAATATACATAAGACCGTTTCAGAGGTTTTTAAGTATATTCTTCTATAGCAATCACATCATACAACTATCTCCGTTACACTTACCTTGTAAAACTGAACTCCCATGTCCATTAAATACCCTGTCCCTGTCCCTGGTAAGCATCCTAAATCACCTCTATGGTTTTGAGTTTCACATAAGCAAATCGTTCTTTACTTGACTTGCGGATCTTGGTTTATTTCACAAAGCACAGTTCCTAAAGTCAGGAACATCAGCTATAACCTTCCCTGAGTGGTGCAGGCCACAATCCAGCCTGAATCTCCGAGTCCCCTGCTCCGTAGTTCAGCGGTAGAGGACCTGCTCAATGGACTTGAGACTCTGGCTTGGACCCTACCACCCAAACCAAGCCACGCTGCTCACTCCCAGGTTGGGCACGTAGCTCAGTTGTCAATCTCCAATTGGTCCCATCAGTTTGAGAGTTGATACCAATAGTGACGAGTGATGACCTTCCTGTTCCTAAGCCTTCCTCAGAAGTGCTCTTGGCTTTACCTCCCGTCAGTTCGGCCAGGGTTCAGTCCCCTGTACCTCCATCCTGCACATCCCCTCTTCCCAAACACAAAACTGCAGGCCTGGAACTGCACTGTCCAGCCCAAACCTATCTTTCATAGAACACCGTTTTTTGCCCTTTTTAAGAGTCAGAGAATTTGCTCAACTCTAAACAAATAAACAAAGCCCCCAAACTTCCCAACAGTGACCCCTGTGTCTGGGCTGTTCTTGACTCTGGGCTGTTCTCTGAGAATGGCTGATGAGCATTACCATATATCTTGGAAAATTTCTTCAGCTCTGAGAATCCCAAGTAATGATGTTCCTACCTCCAAGAAACTAACCCACCAGTGGTAATTCCAAGGCAACAAAATAATTAAGTCTCTCTTAGGCAAGCCTGAGCTAACTTGGTTAAAGCAAACAGTTCAGACTTCTATTGTCACACTGAGGTCTTGCCCAGAGGGTTTCTGACCTCCACAGAGAATTGCAGAGAATCAGATCCATGCTGTTCCTTTAAGGCTGGTTTTGCTCATGCAAATGATGCTCTCAACACCCACTAATGCTTAACTCCTAAGTTAAAAACAACTGCATGGCAATTTGGACCACTCAAGAGTCTGATCCCTGCGTCGTGATTTTATGTGATTTGTGTACTGTATACAGACTTGACCTGGAGCTAGCGGCAAGAACTGTTATTAGAAGCACTTTCCAAGGAAATTACCGTGACAAGTAAAGGCTTGAGGGTTTCTGTAGGCGCCTAGAGCTATTCATTGCTGGTCCCTGGGAAGTGCAGCTGTGGGTACTAAAATCTGTCTAATCACTATGCCCCTGGGTGCAGACAGGACATTCCTGGGCCAACTCCCATCTATGGCGACACTCCACTCCATTTTTAAAGTTTTCATTACTCAGAAAGAAAAAGAAAGAAAATTGCTTCCATTTTCCCTTTTTCTTCCTTGACACTAACAGGGAGCACCCCAGCAGGACCAGCATTTCCTGGGAGCTAATGACTAGCTGGGCCAAGTGCCCTGGGCTTTACCTCCAGTTAGGCCTTAATTGCTGCGATAGGAAGTACTTTCCAGGCAAATTATTGTTTAATCCAAACAAAAGAAAATAAACTGTTATTGCTGTCAACAGCAATGGTCAACTCTCCCTGGGAGTCTGGGAATGTGGGAATGGTGGGGGTTTAAGCGTAGAGAGAAGTGTTTCTCTGGGGTAAGTTGCATGAACACCTTTGGGGAGTGTCTTCACTCTACACCCGGGTACACAGCAGAGTCAGAGCGCAGCCTATAAAAAAGAAATGGGGAGATGCACAAGGCAGAAAGCTCGTGGTCCTTGCCATTTTCAATTAGGTATATACCTGTTAAGAAAGGGTCTCTTTGTAAGCCGGGCGGTGGTGGTGCACGCCTTTAATCCCAGCACTCGGGAGGCAGAGCCAGGCGGATCTCTGTGAGTTCCAGGCCAGCCTGGGCTACCAAGTGAGTCCCAGGAAAGGCGCAAAGCTACACAGAGAAACCCTGTCTCGGAAAACCGAAAA